GAACACCCACCACTCCCTCACCACTCAGCAGGTGTTTAAGGAGTGGCAGATTGCACCGTCGGCCATCGAACTTCTCGTGCGCAGGCTCAGCTGGTGGCAGAGTATCATCCGCGACCCGACCCACCATGGCCAGTTTCTCGCTCTCTTTTTTGGACGATGTCGGTTCGAGCAGCAGGCGGCCACAAGCAACCGCCCTGTCAGTGCGGCCACCCTTTGTGAGCAGGGTATCATCGCTGGCGGCTCGAGCATTCACCCGTGGGCACAGCAGCTCGCGGACGATCTTCTTTGCCTGGCTACACACCCAATAGGCGAGAGCTTTCAGGAGGTGTGGCAGCCGACCGTGGTCAAAACATTGTGGGAAGACGAACACGTTCGAGAGACCTTTCTGTATTGCGACGTTCGAGCACTACGGGCCTCCTACTGGACCTCCCAATGGGCCCCCCCAGGACACATCACCCTCAACGACTCCCTCCCCTCTGCGAATGCGCTCGCCGAGACCGACAGCGATGACGAAATCAACAAACCGTTCGAGTGCACGATCGAGCATTGTGGTAGGCGCTTCAACACGTTGAAACAGCTCGTCACGCATCAAACTAAATCGAGGGGAGTGGGACATGGTATGCCGTCTATCTTAACTACATTACAGGTGGACAACATATGCCTAGTATGCAGCACAACATTCCCCAACAGAGACCATGCAGTACGACGCTTAAGGCGGGCCTGGCATGCGGGCCGATGCATACCTGAACTTACTCACCATGTTTATCCCTGGGTTCCAGCCACATGTACTACATGCACTACATGCCCTCTTCGTGAATATGATCTAGATCCCGCGTGTCATCATGAATACCAGGCCCCCGAACAGCTACGGAGACACCTTCTCTCTCACCTCCCGCCGTCGCCATCGGGTTCCTTGCTCAAGCCAGTTCTCAGGGCGGAGTTCCGCTCGACTCGATCGAGCCCAGTGTTGCGAGTAACCCGCCATCCACAGCGCCCGCGGCCGCGAGTGATCGAGGGCACCGCTGGTGTACGGGCAGGGCTGCGTCGATCAGCCGACCTTATCTTGAGGCCGGGACATCCGCGCGACGTACGCCGACAGCTCCGCAGGGCCTCCCGACGTGCAGACACGCCAGTGCCCCCAGCTTGTGAGCCCGTGAGCAGCGAGGTCAGAGCTTCGACGCCTACACTCCCACCGCTTCCTGAACAGCATGACGGCAGCCGCAGCCACCAGCGAGGAACGAGCAGCAGGCGCGGCGACGGCGCCGCCCGCGGGGAAGGGCCCTCCGCCGACGCCAGCCAAGGCGTCTCGGGCGCCCTGGCGTATCCCCCTGGACTCCCCAGCGGGCTCCAAGGGATCTGGCAGCGCCTCCAAGCCAGGGGGGCCACCGCAGGCCAAGGCGCGCCTGCGATCGCCTCCAGCGCGGCAGCCGCTAGCAGGCCATCGCTCGAAGTCCCCGCGCCCCCCAGCGGCCGCGGACGAGGACGAGGGCGAGGCCGCAGCCGCGGGCGCGCAGGGCCTGCGCAGGAAGCGCAGGGGCGGCCGCGGGGCCAGGCGCGGCGCGCACAGCGACAAGGTCTGGATCAGCAAGGACAAGAACCTTCTGAGTCTCTTGCGATCCACGCTGAAGCTGCTGCTCCAGACCACCCACAAGACCAGACTCAACAGCAGCATCGGCATCGACACGTACACGATGAGCAGCAAGCACCCCGTCATCGACGGGATCACGAACGAGCTCGAGGGCTACAAGCAGCTCCTCGATCAGCTTCGCAGGAGCGGAGAAGCCGCCGACAAGGCCAGGCTCAAGGAGATCGGCTCTCCCGCCCCAGCGCTGGGCCTCGCAGCCCTCGAGAGCCTCCAGAAATGCGACATCGGGGGCTCGCTCAAGGCAGAGATCGCCACGCACCTCGAGAAAGTACAGCCGTTGGACCCAGACGCGGAGGTGGAAATCTCCAAGGACGATCTGCAGACCGCCATCAGCTTCATACGGCTCGAGAGTTGTTTCGACACGGACAAAATGAAGCTCATCATCGGGGCCCCAACCTGGGAGGGGCGCCTCATCATTCAGAAGGCGCTGGCCTCAGAGGGATCGGCTCAGCATCACCGCGGAGTGGCGCCAGCAGGATGGCTCGAGGAAGAAGTGGCTCATTGGTTGGAGACTCTCGAGCAGTAGCAATTCGTTTCGTCAGAGGTGAATCCCTGCCTGCGTCCAGGAGCGGTGTGACAGTGCACCATATGTGTGCCGCTCCCCTCACGCCACCAGTTTCTTTAGACACGCCAGCGCCATCTCAAGGCACGCCCGTTTCAGCGCCCATGGCAAGTACAGCCCAGCCAGTGCTCGTGTCGCCCAGCTTGCCAGCGCAGGTTGCGCCACTTTCAGACTCTGTGCTTTTCCAACGCCCGCGTGCCACTGACGCTTCGCCAGCACCCGTGCCTGTTTCTTTGCTAGCGCCAGTTGAAACCCCTTCAGCGCCATCGAGTGCGCCCGACCAGCCGAGTAGCACGCAGGCCCCGTTTGAGTTTGACGCCGAAGATGAGGCGGCACACTTTTTCTTCTTATAGATGTCTTCCGTTACGAGGCAGCGCAGCGCAGCCCCCCTGTGCCAGCACCCTCGCGACAGCGGCCCAACGAACGGGGCTTCACGAGTTCCATGGCGCTCTGCGGCGGATCATTCTTTTTACTATTGCAAGCTGGCTCCAGTTTGATTGGTCCTGATGCCGAGTAAAAAAGCACCATCAACCAGGTGGCGAATGGATATTGACAGAAAACGCACGGCGCGGCCTGATGATGATGAGGAGGGGGAGGAGCAGGAGGAGGACCAGGACAGATGATGATGATGATGATGATGAGGAGGATGAGGAGGAGGAGGAGGATGAGGAGGAGGAGGATGAGGATGAGGATGAGGATGAGGATGATGATGACGATGATGATGACGATGATGATGATGACGATGATGATGATGATCATGGTGGTGGTGGTGATGATGAGGAGCGGTGATGATGACGACGAGGAGGAGGGGGAGGAGGGGGGTGAGGATGTTGATGTTGACGATGAGGATGGAGAAAGGGAGAGAGAAAGGGAGAAAGGTAACAAGAAACATACACAAACCACTAAGCCACCTACGCAAAGATACCCCCCCCACCCGCCCGCCTCCCCTCCGCCACTTGGGGTCGCGTTCGCTGTCGTCGGTGGTGTGATGATCGAGCCGTCTGCAGCGGAACGTTTAAGCCTTTGTGCAAGTCTGCCCACCACAGTCTGGCCCCGTGGCATGCGAATCGTCGCTCTTGTGAGGCCCTCTCGTTGCTGAATTCTCCAACTCTCCACCGCACCGCCGCAGGCTTCCGCACGGCCGCGCCGCCCCCCACGCCACCGCCGCACTTCCCCGGCGGCGAGCGACGGGGGGAAGTGAGAAGGGGTGGGCCTTCTCAGCTTGCTCCGAAGTTCCTCGACCTTCTGAGAAGTTTTCTAAGTCTTCCCCAAGACACAGAAAACTTTTCAGAAGGAGCGAGGGCTTCTGAGAAGTCCCGCCGCCTTCTGAGAAGGCCTTCTCCTTCTCACCTCCACCCCTCGCTCGCCGCCGACCCGCAACCCCCCCCCCCCCCCCCCGCTGCCCTCCCCCCCCCCACCTCGCCCTCAGCCAGCCCCTTGCAGCCCGCCCCCCCCCCACAGCCGCAGGCTTCCGCACACCTGCGCCGCCCCCCCCGCCGGCGCCGCCCCCGCCCACCCCCGCGCCTCCCACGCCGGCGCCGCCCCCGCCCACGCCGGCGCCGACGCCGGCGCCCACCGCCGCCACGCCGGCGCCGACGTGGCGCTGGCAGGCGCTGCCCCTCTGGCCCGTCGGGTCGCCCTGGCGACCAGGGAGCGAGGATTGCCGAGGGGGGTCGAGCGAGGATCGGGGAGGATCAAGGTGGGTCGAGGAGGATCTAGCGATCGAAGAGGACCTCAGGATCCAGGAGGATCGAGGACCGCCATCGTTGTCATCGAGGATCGTCGTCGAGGATCTTCGTCGTCGTCGGCGCCGGCGTAGGCGTCGGCGTCGGCGTCGGCGTCGAGGGTCGAGGAGGGTCGGTCTAGAATCCATGTTCTTGGGCGTGCGTGGCCCTGGCCGGGGCTCCCGAAGCCTCTGGGGAGTCCTCCAGAGACTTCGCCGTTGCCGTCGTCGTCGCCGGCGCCGTCGTCCTTCCCTGAAGCAGTGGCGAGGCGTCCTGGCTCGTGCTCGTGTTTTATTCGTTGCTTTGCCAATCGGCGCGTGCCCCAAACCCCCCCCCCCCTCCCACAGAGTAGATAATTCCTGTTTTTGGCGCCTGTTTCGAGCAGGTGGTGTCTCCCCTCATAGGACGCACGGTTCCAAACAGCCGCACTAAGCAGAGGTCCTGAGCCAGATCCCCCCCCTCCTTTCCGCCCAATGTCGAAACGCCGAATCAAAACAACGCTCACAATCTTCTGTGGTGTGCACAACGTGTTCATAGAACATTTCGGGCTGAGGCTTTCTCTTTGCAGTACATTGGCTTCATGATCTAAGAACGCTGTTGTTGTTTTGAGAACGTTCGTTTGTTTGTTTTGAGTGTTGGGCCTACAGGAATGCCTGGACGATCGGTCCCTGCTCAATTCTCAGCCCTCCGCACCCCTCCTCGTCGTCCTCGTGCTCCGCCCTGCGGCCTCGCCTTCCGCCCTCGAGCACTCCCCCTCCCGCCCTCGAGCACTCCCCCTCCTCATCCTCCACGCCGTCCTCGTTGCCATCCTGTGCCTGCTCCTCGCCGGCCTCCTCCTCCTCCTTCTCCTCATCGTTCTTGCCGCCTCCTCCTCCTCCTCCTCCTTCTCCTCCTCCTCCTTCTTCACCTCCTTCTCCTCCTCAATCTCCTCCTCGGTGCTCGTTCTTTCGACGAAGCCGTCCGCGCCGCGCGACCCATGCCGACGACTACAGTGCCCTCACACTCGCCCACCGCCGAGTAGTCCATCGCCTACATGAACGAGCGTGCGGAAGCTTGGGCCGCCCGATGGATGCCGAGCGTCTACTTCGACCCCAGCAGCGACGACTACCGCGACTGGATGGAGTGGTGCGTCCCCTACCTCACCATCTGCCTCCGTCGCCCGCAATTCGACGACATGTTCGACATCGCCGCCAGCCCCTGGCACGATGGTGGCCGCCGCCACGCAGTCGCTCTCGAGATCTGCGAGCGTCGATGGCACAGCGCGTCCTGCGCCCGCAGCCGTCGCTACTCACTCTGCCAGTCCAGCCACCCGACAGCGGCGGCACAACGTGAATGAGACGAAGAAGCTGCTGAGCATCGTGCCCGCCGCCGCTGGCCCACCACCCATGAACTACGTGATGAAGACCGCTGGCTTCCTGAAGACACCGCCCAGGGCGGCAACAGCAACCATAACATCGACATGCTGGACATCGACGACTGGCCTCATTCGCTTGCTGCTGGCTGGTTCGCGCTTCAACGTCATCTCGCACGTGCCCCTCCGTCACAGCTCTGGCCCGTCCTCAAGGCGCCGGCGGGTGCCTGGATCACGAGTTACCGCATGCATGTCCACCTCTTCAAGCACACGTGCCTCTTCGGATGTCCGACCATCGAGAGCAAGAGGGGCACTGACGATATCGCGCGCTGCATCAGGTGCCCGAGGATGTGGAGCCATCTCTGCCTTCCGCGCGGACAAGTCTCGCCGAACGTCATCACGCGCCTGGGCCTCAACGGAGAGCAGATCGATGACGACGCCATTCCGCGCTCCATCGCCCGCCTGGCCGTGGCCTTCAAGGTCTACAACTTCCTACGCATCCAGAATGCCGTGAACATCGGCTCGGCCTCCATCAACGAGGCCAGGGCCCCCGTTCACCCGTCCTACGACACCCACGACAAGAACAAGGCGGCCATCGCCGCCTCGCGAGGCTTCCCCCCTGCCTGGAGGGCGGCGCGGGGTCGCGCCGGCCGCGAAGAGATAGACGTCCGCAAGTGGACGTTCGCTCCTCCATCTCCTCCTCCTCCTCCTCCTCCTCGTCCTCCTCCTCCTCCTCCTCCTCATTCTCCATCTCCTCCTCCACCTCCGCCTTCTTCTCGTCGTTATCATCCTCCCTTCTTCCCCTCACACCTTCGTCATCTTCCTGATCATCTCGCTTCCTCTCCTCCCCCCTCGGCTCGGCAATGAAGCGAAGCAGCACTGTCAGGAACAGGAGAAGCAGATTGCGGAGGAGGAGGAGGAGGAGGAGGAGGCGGAGGAAAACGAGGAGGAGGACCACCAACAGGATCAGGAGGCGGTCGACGATGCGACGACGGCGACGACGGCGACGGCGCAGCCGACGATGCAGTAGCAGCAGCAGCGCCCCTCGGCCGAGGCGCCGTGGCCGCCTGCCACGCCCACGCCCCAGCCGCCTCCGCCCACGGCGGGCCAGCCGGCGGGCATGCTGGCGCCGACGGCCGCGCCGCCGAGCCCGGCGCCGACGCCGCGCGAGCCAGACGTGCTGCAACTGGTGCAGACCACCGCCAGACCGCCCTCGTCCTCGTTTTCGTCCTCCTGATCGCGCCCTCGCCCTCATCCTCGTCCCCGTCTTCCTCCTCCTGCTGATGCTTCTGCTGCTGCTGCTCCTGCTCCGGTTCGTCCCTCGCTTCCTGCCTTCCTCGTCCTCCTCCTCCTCCTCCTCCTCCTCCTCCTTCTCCTCCTCCTCCTCCACCTCCTCCTCCTCCTCCTCCTCCTCCTCCTCCTCCTCCTCATCCTCCTCCCTGTTCCTCATCCTCCTCTCCTTCCTCCTCCCCCTCCTCCTCCCCTCCTCCTCCTCCTCCTCCTCCTCCTTCCTCCTCCTCCTCCCTCCCTCCCTCCCTCCCCCTTCCCTCCCTCCTCCCTCCCTCCTTCCCCTCCTCCCTTCCTCCCTCCCTCCTCTCTCCCTCCCTCTTCCTCCTCCTCCTCCTCCTCCTTTTCCTCCTTTTCTTTCTCCTCCTCCTCCTCCTCTTCTCCTCCTCCTCCTTCCCCTCCTCCTCCTCGTGCTCCTCCTCCTCCTCCCCCTCCCTCCTCCCTTCTCCTCCGCTTCTTCCTCCTCCCCCCGTTCTCTCTGAGGCACGGCCTCGGCGTGGCCCTTCGCAGTGCCAGTCATTCGCTGCTGTCTGGCGTGTCTGTCGGCGCTCTGGTATCGGCCTCCAGGGCTTTCCCCCAGATTGCCGTCAGTGTGTTCGTGACAGCCGCAGCCCTCCTGGAGGGGGCCTGAAGTCGTGGATGTCCAAAAAAACACCCTCCTGCTCCTCCCTGCTCGCCCTCGCCCGCCTGCTCCTGCTCGTGCTCGTGCTCCAGTGGCCCCATCTGGGCCCCACTGGGGACGGGATGGGGACCGCGGAGGGGGAGAGTCAGGAAGGGAGGGGGGAGAAGAGGAAGGGCGGAAGGGATGGGGAGGGGAAGACGAGGGATGATGAGGGGGAAGGGAAGGGGAATGGGGAAAGGAGAGAAGGAAAAGGCGGGCGGGTGGTGAGGAGGAGAGAAAGGGGGTATGGGAGTAAGAAAGGGGGAAGGAGCGGAGGAGGGGAGGAGGAGGGACTTGGGATATTCTCCGAGTCCAGCCTCTGAGTCCAGGGCTGCCCGTCAGAGCATCCCAGACCATGAGGATGGTAGGGTTCGCGCTCCTCCCCCTGCCAGTTCCTATCCCTCTCCTCTCCCCTGCTTCTCGCTCCTGCTGCTGCTTTCCTTCACCCATGTTCCCTGTGTTCCTCTTGCGCGCACTCTCTCTCTCTCTCGCTCTCTCTTTCGCTCCCTTTCTTTCTTTATTTCTCTCTCTCTCTCTATTTCCCTCTCCATCTGCACATGGATGAATATACATATATCTATTGATATATGAATATATACACATAGATACAGCGGTTGCCGCAATGTGTGTTCTGACCAGATTGTGTTGGATTGCCTCTGATTTGTATATTATGTACGGCCCTATTGTATTGTATTCATATGTCCGTATATACATCTACACATGTATGTATGAAAGAGCGCGTTCTGTGGTCGCTCGGAGGGGGGGGGTGAAACTGGACCCCCCTCCCCCCCCCCTGGATGGAGGGGGGGGGACCCCCCCCCCTTCCTCCCTTTCCTGCTTGGTGTTCGTGGTGGTGGTGGTTGTTTGGTGGTGTTGTGGTGGTGGTTTGTGGTGGTGGTGGTGGTGGGTTGTGGTTGTGGCGGTGGTTTGTGGAGGTGGTGCTGGTGGTGGTGGTGGCGGTGGTGGTGGTGGTGGTGTGGTGGTTTGTGGTGGTGGTGGTGGTTTTGTGCTGCTGGTAGTGGTGGTGGTGGTGGTGGCGGTGGTGATGGTAGATTGTGGTGGTGGGGTTGTGTGGTAGATTGTGGTGGTTGTGGTAGTGGTGGTGGGATTTTGTGGTGGTGGTGGTGATGGTGATTTGTGGTGGTGGTGGTGGTGGTTGTGGTGGTGTGGTGATGGTGTGGTGGTGGTGTGGTGGTGGTTTGTGGTGGTGGTGGTGGGTTGTGGTGGCGGTGGTTTGTGGACGTTTGTTGTGGTGGTGGTGGTGGCGGTGGTGGTGGTGGTGGTGGTGTGATGGTGTGTGGTCGTGGTGGTGGGTTGTGCTGCTAGTAGTGGTTGTGGCGGTGGTGGTGGTGGTGGTGTGGTAGATTGTGGTGGTGGTGGTAGTGGTGGTGGTGGGTTTTTGTGGTGGCTGTGGTGGTGGCGGTGATGGTGAGTTGTGGTGGTGGTTGTGGTGGTCGTGGTGGTGGTGGTGGCTATGGTGGTGGTGGTTGTGGTGGTTGTGTGGTGCTGTTGGTGGTGGTGTGGTGGTGGGTTGAGGCGGTGGTGGTGGTAGTGGTGGTGGTGGTGGTAGTGGTGGTAATCGTCGCTGCGTCCCCGCCGTCGCCAGCGCCAGCGCCAGCGCTGCTGGCCGCCCGCCGCAGGCGCCGGCGCCGGCGCGAGGCGGGGGGGGGGTTTGAGCCTCCCCCCCTCCCCCGGCGCCAGGAGGGAGAGGGAGGGGTTGAAATCCCCCCCCCCCTTTGAGTTGCCTCTGGTCATCGTCGCTGCGTCCCCGCCGTGGGCGCTGCTGGCGGCCGCCAGCCCGAGCGCCAGCGCCGGCGCCGCAGGGGGGGGAGGGTGAAACCACCCCCCCCTTGGGAGGGAGGGGGGGTTCGGGAGGGGAGGGGTTTGGAGGGGAGGGGAGTCCCCCTGGTTTTGATCGACTGCGCCGAGTGTTGGGGGGGGGCCCACCCCCCGGTTTGAAACGCGCCGCCGAATGTTCCCCAAGCAAGCGCCCGTGGAACGCGCTCTCTCGTATGTATGATTGTGCTCTGTCTTGTTTCTCTCCCTGTCTGTCTCTCTCTCCCACACAGACGGACACATGATGAGAGGGAAAGTCGGAGGAGGAGGGTTTTGGTAGCATGCAAGATTTTTGAGTGCGCGCCATAGTGGGCCAACTCTTGGCGGAGTCAAGGAGCCTTCCCATGCAGCTTAGGCGTGATCATACAGCCCTCCCCCGTGAAGGACCCTTGGGAGCGCCCAGGTGAGGTATTGCGAGGAGTCGGGGAAGCAACGATAGATGGAGGATGAGGAGGAAAGGAGGAGAAGGAGGAGGATGAAGAGGAGGAGGAGGAGGGCGGGAGGAGGTGAAGGAGGAGGAGGACGAGGAGGAGGAGCACGAGGTCAGATCGCAGCAGCCCGAGTGTACCTGACCGCTGTGAGAGCAGGTGCTTTCCCTTGGCACGGCCGACAGGGGCGCCGCGGAGACGTTCCACAATGCCGCCGCCCTGGGGGCGGTGCAGGTCACGTGGGGCCGCAAACACGAGCCACGCCACGCATGCTTGTCAGTCTGGCTTGATGTTGCGGGGGGAGGGGCCTAATCCTGACCTGCACTTGTCCTTCAATCTCGCCCCGAAGCCGACCTCTCCCTGTCCCCCTCTCACTCCCTCTCTCTCGCTCTCTCTCTCTCTCTCCCTCCCCCCTTTTTTTGTTTCTCTCTCTCTCTCTCTCTCTTCTTTCTCTCTCTCTCTCTCTTTCTCTCTTGTTATCTCTCTCTCGTTCTCTCTCTCTCTCTCTATATATATATCTCTATTTCTCTCGCTCTCGTTCTCTCTCTCTCTCTTCCTCTCTGTTTTTTGGTTTCTCTCTCTCTCTCTCTTTCTCTTTCTCGATGCATGTATGTACGTATGCATGCGTGCTTGTGTGGTTGTCTGTTTGTTTGTTTGTTTGGTTGTATGTTTGCAAACTTGTATGTTTACATGATTGTGTGTCCGTATGCTTGCATGTATGTAGCTATGTATGTATGTATGTTTGGATGTATGTTTGTAGGCATGTATAGATGCATGTGTACATATATCCGCCGGCCCCCTTGTGGGGCCACCAGGCTGTAGGGCTAAGGTTCGTAGTTTCCTGTACCAGTTGCAGTTTCCAGTTTCCACTGTTACAGTTCTGCTTCTTGCTGTTTACCGTTCCTTGTTGACTTGTTGCTGCTTACTGTTCCTTGTTGATGGACCGCGCGAGGGGGGGAGGCCCAACACGGGCATTTCTACCACGCCCAAAACGTGTTGTCTGAATTGGTGGGGTGGGTAAACATTGACACCCCTCACGCAGATCGGCGGGGTCAGGGTCCAAAAACAAAGGGGATTTGCCATCTGTTTTGACATGTGCTGGCACGCCTCACGCTGATCGGCGGCGTCAGGGTCCAAAAACATATGTAATTTGCTACATTTTTGAAATTTGCTGGCACCCCTCTCGAGATCGGCGGGGTCAGGGTGCAAAACCACACAGGATTTGCCACATTTGTGAAATCCGGCGGCCCCCCTCACGCAGATCGGCGGGGCCAGGGTCCAAAAACATAAGGGGTTTGCCACATCTCTGAAATTCGGCGGCACCCCTCAGGCAGATCCGTAGGGTCAGGGTCCAAAAACACAGGGGATGTGCCACATGTCTGAAAGTCGGCGGCACCCCTCAGGCAGATCCGTAGGGTCAGGGTCGAAAAACAAGCAGGTCCCGACACTGCTTCACGGCGGCGCCCAGACCTCATGATTTAGCTGTTGCATCTCCCGTTGTCCGAGAGAGGGGGCCAGCGACAGGGGGCGAAGCCATTACGGATATATATATATATATATATGTGTATATATATGTGTATATGTAATGTATATATACAGTATATGCATTTGCATATACTATATATGTGTATATATATGTATGCAATCACACACACATACATATGTATATATATGTGTGTATGTGTATGCAGATATGTATGTATGCATGTACGTACGTACCAACCTATGTATGTATGCATGTATGTTTGTATGTATGTATGTATGTATGGATGTGTTTCTATGTGTGTATGTATTTGTGTCGGTCGGTTTGTCTGGCTGTCAGCCTGCATACCTATGTGTGTATGTATGTGCGTATGTATGTATGTATGTATGTATGTATGTATGTATGTTTGTACGTATGTATGTGTGTCTGCACAAATATAAGCATACACACACATATATATATATGCATGTATGTACGCTCCCTTTTCTCATCCTTCGAGTCCCCTTCTCCCCCCTCTCTCTAGTGTTCCCCGTCATCGTCTATTTCTCTTTCTCTCTCTCACTCTCGTTTCCCATGCTCCGTTCCCGCGCTGCGTTCCCATGCGTCAGCATGTGGTTCGACTGTGGCGGTGCGGCCTACAGGGCCGTGCCGTCCAGGATCGCCCCCATCAGGGCCCAGCGGCACGATCCAAAGTGGCGTGGCCGCCCGAGGCACGGACCGTGAACGTCTCGATCTCCGCGACTGTCGTGCCGTCGGCCTCAGTTCTCCACCCCGCCGAGCGCCTGGATAAACCCACGACACAGGCGCGCGCTGACCTCATGGATTATTAATAATTGCGACAAAGGCAACAAGTCGACGGCGCCTTTCGCGGCCGAGCTGGGCCAGGCCCCCATCCAGGAGATTGCTCCGTCGGACCGCCGCGCGGGGCACAACGTCCACCCTGGCAGGGCGGCCGTCGGGCGGTTAGCCTTGCCTCGCAGCCAGCGGTTGACCAGCTCGCCCCTCACGACGCACCTCTCAATGCTCGCGCATGCGCGCGGGTCAAGCTCGCGGGCAGCTGCGCCAACGTCGCACTCGCCGCCGCTGACGAGGACCCTTACCTCGCCGACGCGACAGATGCCCAGGCTCGCGAGGCCACCGAGCGCCAGATCCCACGATCGCGCGCCTGCAAGCTGCCGCCGGGGACGGGGCCAGAGCCGCCCGCCCTTTCACAGCCAGCGCGCGTGCGCCGCTGGGACTGGCGAGCATGCCCCGGGCAGCGGTTGCCGAGCCAGCCCGTGCCTCGCAAGGCCGGGCGGAGTGATTGGACGCCCGCTCAGACCGTGAGATGTTTGTCGTTCTCTCTCTTTCTTCTCTCCGTTGGTTTCAGCTCGAGGGCCCCATGCCCAGAGCTTAGCCGCGACGCGAACCTCTCCGACCCCGGTTCAGCCCGGCAAGACCGCCACCGTACCAGTCATGCGGGGCCGGTTCGCGCCGCGCATGCTCGAGTGCACGAGTTGGAGGCGGCGATCAAGGCTTGTGGCAGAGGCGGTGACGCAGCCGATGCGTGCTTCTCGAGGGCAAGTTTAAGACTGCGCGCGCAGATATTGAGATCAAGATGCCGAGCGCCGCCCAGCGTGCGAACGCGGGGCACAAGCTCGCGCGGGCTGCATCCAAGCTGGAGAAGGTCACGGCGGAGCTTGAGGAGCATAACAAGACGCTCAAGGAGCTCAACGCCAAGACGGCCGAGATGCAGGCGCGCACGGTGGCGGTAACGGCGGAGGTGGCAGAGTTGCAGCGGCAACGCGCCCAGTCTCTCCCTCGCGCTGCTCATGATGGTGGCAGCAAGCAGCCCGCGGACTTCAACCCACCCCCTACTTTTCTGGAGGGGAAGTGCGCCGCTCCCGAGTGCCAGTAGTTTGTGAAGATGTTCGCCAATCATCGCGCTGCTGCTGGTGGCGATCGCGCAGGCGAGCCTCGCGGCGCGGGGCCCGCTGGCGGGGGGGGCGCGCCCGCCCCGCGCGACGCCGACATGGGCGACGCCTTCGCAGATGAAGCAGCTGCGGGGGCTTTCTGGGAGAAGCATCGCGCTGACAAGCGAGCCTTCGCCCAGGCCCTCTGGGGCGCCGAGCTCAAGGAGCCGAAAGCGGCGAATCGACAGCACTAAGCCGACATGGGAGAGCAGAAGAGTGACCACAACGGCCACGGCGCAGGCGATGCGCCCCACCTCGCCCGCACCGCTTGCGGGAGGGGGAACGTGCTCCAGCTCCCCAGGGCCCCGGATGGGGCCAGGATCAAGCCGGCGACGGCTGGCGACGTTTTTGATGAAGAATATGCGAGCAGTGATCAGGCAATCGATGCTGCAGACGTCTTACCTGATGATGCTGTTTGGTTATGCTCGCACGTGTGTGAGTCGAAGTAACTGCGCCAGCAAACGTTCGCCGACCTGAAGGCAGCATGGTACCTCTTCGACGTGCTGCAGTGCGGCCAGTGCGTCAACTTCGGCGAGCTCGACGTGAGAGGCGACCAGATGCTCGCCGGCGTTGCTGAGCCCTGCGGTCTGAGCCGCCCCTCTCCCTGTTTTTGTCAGCCAAGGCACGTGTCAGGCCACGCCTGGGGCCCAAGTGCACTGGCTTTCGCGTTTCAGCCCACGGCGCGTGCTTTCCGCCGCAGTCCGCCGCCCTCGCTGCGTTTGATGGCCAAGCTCATGTGTTGGATCGTACTATGGCGACAGCTGGGGCACTCTCAAGAAAAGGCTTGGGAGCGCACAGGCGCTTGTGGTGTTTGCGCGGGAAGTGGGCATGACGGAAGAAGACTTGGCCTCGAGAGCCTCCGCGGCTAAGAGTTTGGGGTGGAACGCGCTGTGCACCCCGTCGATAAAGTGTGCAGGAGGGCTGACCTCAGCTGAAGTAGCGATTCTGGCGAGGACCTCGGCGGGCCTCGGGTGGCCGTCGCGATTGCCGCAAGGGATGCGTATCCCTCACAGGTTGCTGTTCGCCACGATCGACACTCCAGGGTGGCCCGAGTTGCTCGCAGGGCGCGCGTGCACGCGCGTCAGCGAGGGTTTGAGCAAGCGGAAACTCAACGTTTTAAAGCATGCGGGGTCGACCCTGGAGGGGGGGCCACATATCGGCGTTCGCGGCTGTTTGGAACTTCTCGGCGGACGTAGCAGAGGCGCCTGGCATGCATCGAAAAGCTTCGACGATGCTAGCGCAACACAGGATCGAAACCTGTGCGACCCCGAAGGCGAATTCCAAGACCGATTATTTTCTGGCATCGGAGGCCTCCTGCCAGCTTGTCGAGGCCGCCGAGATGGACGGCGCGTGGCCAAAGCGGCCCCATCGGCAAGTTCAACTCCGTTAAAGGCATGGGGCGTTGATATTGCAGCAGCTGGTTTACCAAACTCACCAGAAGGTGCCAGTCGAGCTCCCCGCTGGCCCAACCCCCCCGCCGACCGACTGGTCCGTGCCCCGAGCTGTGGCGGAGGGGGAGAACCGTTGAGCCGACCACGAGGAGGTGGCCCTCGCCCGGGGGGGGGGGTGGACAGGGCTTGGAGGTTTTTCTCGCGCCCCACGGAGTTAGAGTTGGAAAGTAGAACGGGCGCGCCCATTGAGCGCGAGGGGCATAAGGGCAGACAGCTGCAAGCGAAGTGGGCGCTCGTCCTGACCCCCCCCCTCGAGGTGGAAAGCCGAGGGCGATATGCGCATTGGGGAGGGATGGGTTTGGCTGCAGCAGGGGATGACTGACCTTCGAAACTCTAGCCAACGGTTGC